AGGGATTGTTTGAGAGGGTCCTGGAGACTCCCCGCCAGCAGGGTACATGAGTGTGGGCTGTCCCTAATACCTTCAACCTCAGAGACAGACTTTGACTCTCCCAGTGGACAACTGACCACACCCTGCCCAACCCCTTGCCATCTTTGAGGGACAGGACAAGTTTGTCACCAGGAAGGGCTGTGGACAAAGCCTTGGCTGGTTGGAGAAGTGGAGAGCGTTGCAGTCCCTGCACCCTCCCTACCTGTTAGCAGAGCTATTGTGTAGGTGGTTGGGCCACTCGGGACCTCCAGGGAAATAATGCTAATTATTATCATCATTGCCTTTGGCCCCGGAAGCTTTGACATAGGAGCAGTAAGAGGACCTTGTGCCGATTCAGCGCACAGTAGGTATGCTCTGCCTCAAGCTCTGGAAACCTCAGCAGCATGAAGGATTTAGGTTAGACTCCTCCCTGCCTGGGTAGGCTTTGGAAGGCTTACTTCCCAAGGAAGCAGGGGTGTCCCCCACTGAGAGCACATCAAGGACAGGATGATTGTTCCTGGGCACAGGGGACACCCTTCCCCAGTGTGACTGTGAGTCCCAGCTCCCCAAGGATGCTGAAACTGGGGCACTTGGCAGAGTCCCCAGAGTGGGGCCTAACCTGGAGGAGGTATCTATCTGCCCCCCCCCCACTTGTGTAAACATGCACATACTGGCTGGACACAGGCACTGTCTCACCTCGATTCTTAGACCCGAGTGCTCTGGTCTTGGAGGGAGGGAAGAAGGAGAATTCCTCAGGTAGGCATGGGGACTGAGGTAAGAACTCATTGGTCCCAGAAGGGGGCTTGGCGTCAGGATCTTAGTGACCATGCTGTCCAGTGAATGTGGGGCAGGCATCTCTCAGGCCTGCTGGACAGCAATGGCCCACACAGAGAAAATGTCACCACAGGTCAGTTGCTGAGTGTGTGTCACAGTGCCGCCTCCTGCCTCCAGCTCAGCTGTGTGTCCAGGCTGCTTTCAGTCCCTTTAAAAAAATATTTTATTACTTTGACAGGGCATGGAGGTGCACACCTTTAATCCCAGCACTCAGGAGGTAGAGGCAGGCGGATTTCTGTGAGTTCAAGGCCAGCCTGGTCTACATAGTGAGTTCCAGGACAGCTGGGGCTACAGGGAGACCCTGTCTCAAAAAGACCAAAAAAATATTTTATCATTTTTATTTCATACGTAGGAGTGTTTCACCTGCATGTATGTAAGTGTGCCACATATGTGCAGTGGCCACAGAGATCAGAAGAGGGTGGTGTCAGATCATCTTGAACCAGAGTTACAAGCGGTTGTTGGCTGCCCTGTGGGTGTTGTGAAAAGAACCCGGGTCCTCTGAAAGAGCAGCCAGTGCTCTTAACCGCTCATCCATCTCTCTGGCCCCTCTCAGTCTCCTTTTACAGAGGAGGAAACTGAGACACAGAGTGGTTAGGGAATATGCCTGGGTACCTCTCTCCAACCGGGAAGAAGCAGGTTCAGCGTCCCCACAGAACTTGTCAGCACCAGAACTTGCAGTTCTAAGGCTGCATTAGACAGCTGTGCTCGGAAGGCCTGGTGTCTGTCACTGAGCTGGATTGGTGGACTCTGGCAGCTCCCCTGCAGAGCGGGGTTCTTGAGGGGTTGGGACCTGGTGAGACCCCACAGAGGCTGGCCTTAGAGGAGAGTATTTAGTCTTGTCAATGGGACCTCATCACTCAAAGGGAGACAACTCTGAGGTCATCTCCAAATTAGCAATTGTGTCTGGTCATGTAGACTGTGCTCCTGGTACCCTGTGATTCAAACACTGTGTGTGGGTGTGGGCAGAGCTGGGGTGTTAGACCGCCTGTTCCAGCAGCCCCACACATTGGTATATCCTTTTTCCATTGGGATCCTGTACATCTAGGGGCCTAGAAGTCTTATGCATTTAGTCCTCTGGCATGTCCACCTTCGGTCTCTGTGGACTTTCATTTAAATGGACTCAGGTGACTTGTGGGATTTTGTGTCTGGCTTCTTTCTCAAGGCAGAATGTTTTTGAGCTTTTTCCATATTGGGGCATGAATGTGTGCTTCATTCCTTTTTATTGCCAAATAATATTCCATGACAGGGATATACCACATTTTGTTTTCATCCAGTCATCTGTCAATAGTTGGGTTATTTCCGTCCTCTGCCTATTATGAATAGTGCTGCTAGAACATTTGTACAGAAGGTTTTGTTTCCACACCTGTCTTCAGTTCTTAAGGATCTATGCCAAGAAATGGAATTTCTGGGCAGCTCTGTTTGTGACTCTTAACTCTTTACCAAGCTGCTGCCCACAGTGGCTGTGTTGTGACTGGACCCCTACTCCTCCACCTCCTTGCCCACGGTGGGGTTTCAGCTTTTTGGCTTTGCTGGCACTGGTGGGTGTGCAGTGGTACCCTCTGGAAGCACAGTGAGTCTCTGCATGCTGCCTGCTACTCCCGTACCTTTGGGGAAAGATGTCAAGTTGTTTTCTAAAGCAGGCTGTTGGTTTTGGATGTAATTCTTGATGTCTACTTGTCTGTGAATTCATTTATTCACCCATTCTTTGGAAGCTAAAACCCCTCTCTTCCCCCAAGCAAGGCCCCCTTGGGCCCCAGAGCCAGCTAGGACTTGGCATTGTCCGTGGGGCACCTACCATTTAGGGTGTCATAGAAACAGTAACAGTAGGGGACTGAGGGATGCCACCTACACTCTCAGAACAAGTGCCCACTGTTACCTCCCATGACCTCAAAGCCTGAAGCTGGGAACAAGCAGGGCTCTGGCTGGGGGTTAGAAGGGGTCAGGTTTGCCAGACAGAACAAAGGAGGAGGGACAGCCTGCTAGCAGAGGGACCTGTGCACAAAGCCAAGGTAGATGGTGGAGTCAGAGGGAAACAGGTCACTGGGGCCAATACCAAAACCTGTAATCCTAGGCAGAGAACAGTGGAGAGCTATGGCTAGATGTTGAGCGGGGAGTGATGTGGTCAGATGTGGGTGGTAGGGGAGCTTCCTGGAGGTGGGAGAATAGGGCTGGGCCTACTGCAGTGATCTCTTGCTGCCCACCCCCACCCCCACCCTGTGCATCCTACATCCCCATAACATCCCCACAGTCTAGCCTGTTTGTCTGAGCTCTCTCCAGTAGGCAGTGGGGGCTTTGGGGTCTGCAGCCTGTTGGGGGAACTTGGAAACAGGGAGCGTCCTCTAGTTCTGGTACCCAAAATGACCACTCTACAGTAGTGGGAGTGCCTGGTGGAGTTCCCATAGTCTCCTTTCCCAGCTTGGCTTCCGAGGATCTACAATTACTTTGGGCTGGATTCTCCAGATTCCAATCCGCTCCCAGCCCCACCCGCCCAGATGCCCTTCCTCAACACCAGCCTGGGGCGGGTCCACCCCTTTGTGTCCTGGGAGACCCAGGGGGTGTCTTGGCCAGATTAGCAGGTGGGGCAGGCAGGCGGACCACAGAGATTGAGTGTCTGTAGCACGTGCTGGGGGTTCAGGCCACACGGGGACTGCCCAGCTGCCTAGGGTGTACAGTGGCCTGGAAAAACACAGAGTTTCTCAAAGACTAGTCATATGCAGCGGGCAGAGAAGGGTTCCCACCTCACTAAAGGCCCAGGGCCTGGTTGTCAGCTCTGAGGGGCTTGCAGGTCTCCCCTCCCTCCCTGCTTCTTTGATCCAGTTTGTTGTTTTAAAGCCAGATGCTTTTTTATTTTTTTAAACAGGATCTCATGTAACTCAGGCTGACCTCAAACTCTCTATGTACCTAAGGATGACCCTGAATTCTTGATCCTTCTGCCTCCGCCGTGTCTGGTATATGCAGTGCCGGGGATTGAACCCAAGACTCTCTGCATGATAGACCAGCACTCCACAAACTGAGAACCTCTGGAGTGCTGGAGTGTCACCGTGTCTGGTATATGCAGTGCCGTGGATTGAACCCAAGACTCTCTGCATGATAGACCAGCACTCCACAAACTGAGACCCAGCCCCAGTCACTGTTTAGAGACTGGCCCTCCTCTCCCTCCGTCTTCATGTTCTTCTGAGTACCTGAAGCCAACCCATCAGCACAATGGCTGTGGAAAATGGTTTAGCAATGCATCAGGAAGTTAGAGTCACTAGGTGATCCAGCAATTCCATTCCCAGGTGGGCAGGTGCCCCAAAGATTGAAAACAGGGACTCAAAGACAGGTGCTTGCATGCACACAGCCACATCCGAGAGGTGGAGCCAAGCCAGGTGTCTGTCCAAGGAAAGCTGATCAATAAGCCAGGGCTCGTTGTGCAACGGAATATTATTCAGCCTTTAAAAGGAACAGGGTGCTGACGCAGCTGTAAGATGGATGAGCTTTGAAAGCATTTCACCCAGTGAAAGGAATCAACCCAAAAGACCACATGTATTGTGAGATTCCATAGGCTGTCCAAGCAGGCAGCCCCGTGGGAACACAGACAGATGAGCGGCTGCCAGGGGCCGAGGGAGGAGGGACTGGGAGTACCTGCTCATGGGTACGGAGTTTCCTTTTGGGGTGTTGAGAAAAGCTTGGCGCTTGATAGAAGCAGTGGTCGTACAGCGGTGCATGTGCTAAAGGCCGCAAGGCCACAGGGCTGTACACTTTTAAATGGTTAATGCTATGTTATGTGAATTTCCCTCATTACCAAAACAAACAATGCTGATAATACTTCAGGCACAGACTGAGCTTGGCAGGAAGCTTCCTGCCTGGGAGTTGCAAGGAGTCATTACAAAGGCAGCCTGGGGCTTTAAGCCAAGCCCAGCACACAGTAGGTACTCACTCCCCATCCGCTCCTGTCTCCTCCCTGTGCACCCACTCATCCAGAATCCAGGGGTCCTTCTAGGTACACATCTGTGCCTGCCTGCTGGGAGCTGCAGGTGTCAACACCCACTTTCTGAATGTGAAACTGAGGCTCAGAGTGTCTTTCCAAGGCTGCATGTGAGTGAGAACTGGAGACAGCTCAGAAGGGACTGCCCAGGGGGTCTCACTGCCTCTCACTGTCTCCACAGAGCACTGTCATCCGTGGTAGCCCTGGGAGCCAACATCATCTGCAACAAGATTCCTGGCCTGGCCCCGCGGCAGCGTGCCATCTGCCAGAGCCGACCCGATGCCATCATCGTGATCGGGGAAGGGGCGCAGATGGGCATTGATGAGTGCCAGTATCAGTTCCGCTTTGGCCGCTGGAACTGCTCCGCCCTGGGCGAGAAGACCGTCTTCGGGCAAGAGCTCCGAGTAGGTAAGGGTGTCTCTGGGCCTGTGGGCCAGCCATCTAGGCCAGAGGGCAGGGGGCCAAATCACGTGCCCTCTACCAAAGGCCAAGCCAGACTGCCCACATGGCCTATGTACATGCACGATGGTCCTGGCTCTGGGCTGTGTGGTGGGACACAGTGAGCCATGTGGACAGGAGCCTAGGCTGGGGCATGACTGTCCAATGGAGTAGGCGACTTGTCTCTTTCTCTATGGTTCCTACCTGGAAGGCAAGGAGGATGGGGTGCTGACCATGAGGCTGCTGGGCATGGGATGAGAGGTGCAGCCAGCACAGAGAGGACCTGCTTCTGCTAAGCGACTCCAGCAGAGTGAACCTGTAGGATGCTTAGGTCTGATGAAGAAAGGGCAGGCCTCTGTTCAAAGACCGTGAACAACTACCAGGAGGGGTGGCAAGGTCCCTGCCGATGGCATAGTCCTTGGGGCACCTCCTTCCCTGGGGCAGGCTAACTGGAGCCCATTTCACACATAGGAGACTGAGGCTCAGAGAGGACCCCAGTAGAGGCCGGAGAGGCCTAAAGGAAATGTCTAGAAATGACCTGGATTCAAATCCAGTGGTGGATGCATCACTCAGGGCTACTGGGGGTCTTTGGTTCCTCACTCGTAGTATGAGCTCTGAAACAGCAGGCTCTTGTTGGGTGGGTCCCCAACACCTGCATGCACTAGGTGCTCAATAAATGCTGTGAGCTGCAGAGGACCAGGCACAGTGACTCTGGCTGCCCTCTAGGCTGTCTCCAGGTCAAATGGGAGAACAGTACCAGGCTTGCTGGCTGCCCAGCCTGTGGGCCCAGTGCATCCGTCCCACCCCAGAGGACTGCAGCTGCCCCAGGACCCACACTGGAGCCGAGCCGGCTCTACAGGGCTGTGAACACCAGCATGAGTCTGGGGGTGGTGCAAACCCCCTGGGGGGCCCCTTTGTGGTGAGCAGGCTGTGGGTGGCACCTAGTTCAGTCAAGAGCATGGCACCGCCTTCACCCTGGGGCTCCGCCACCCAAGTGCAGTTTCTTCTTCACTCCGGGTGCCAGGCCGGGGTGGGGGGGTGGAGGGCCTTAGTGGGCAGAGTCGTATGGCTGCCTACCCGCTTGCCTGGGTGCCATGTTTGGAGGCATCTGTGAGCGCCCTGACTCACAGTGAAGAAACAGACCTGGGGTGTTGTGAAGTCACCTGGGCAATCACCCAGCTTGCCCTGGGGGTGGACCCAGAGCCTGCCAATCAGCTGGCAATCAGCTTAAACCTCCAGAGAGGTGGGGGCTTGGACTGGAGATGCAGGGTATGGGACGCATGGCTGCCCTGAGCCCTTCCCCAGTGCCCTGGTGACTGTCTCTCTGTGCTGTCCTCTCAGGCCCAGCATTGCCCCCTCACCTGGAAGTGAGGGCTGTTGGTACCCACATACCACCTTTGGGGGACATCACAACTGCTCCTTGGGAAGCAGACTTGGGCCCACTAGTCACCAGGAGGAACACAGCTCTGCCCATAGGAGGGATGCCACTGAGGTAGGGCCACCCGGTGGGCCCCTCATGCCCCCCGCCTTGGGGAGCAACTGTTTGCACTGCCTGCTTCTGAGAGCACCCTTCATTGCTGCCTCAGGCACTGCTCCTGGGGGGAACCCTGGCACCCAGTGCTGCATTTGAGAAGCCCTTTGGCAAAGTTGCTTACACCCTGGCCCTCGGCCTGTCCCCTCCTCACAGCTCCCATCCAGGCCATTAGTAACCTCTGTGCTGTTGACTGTCCCCTTTGGCTTCCGGCCTGGCTCACTCGCCGAGGTTCCCTTCTGTCTCTGGCTTTTCCTTGCCCACCCCTGACTGAGGTTTGATGTACCCATAGGTACACACGGATGCCTCTCTCCAGTTTTAATAGACCCTTGTCAACTGCTGCTCCAAGTCCCACTGACCCTGGGTACCTTGGCTCTACTAGGTAGCATCTGACTTCTTAAATCTGTGCCCCCCCCAACCTGGCCACCTGCTGTCATCTCCACTGTTTGTGCCTCCACACTGCCCCTTGGTCCCTCTGGGGCTGCTTCTCTGGTCTCCCACTGAGGCTGTCACTGTACCCTCCCTTCACAGCCCCAGTCACCACGTCAAACAAAAGCCATGCTTTGACCCTCCCTTTCTGCTCTGTGGATAGACTGCCAACCTAGCACACCAAAGGACATGGGTTCGATGCCCCAGCATGTCCTAATTCAGGGTGCTGACACACAAGTCCGTCATCCCAGCCTATGCCAGCCGCAGGCCCACCTAGAATACATGAGGCCTTGTTTCAAATCCAATCCATGGCCTCACCAGAAAATACAAAGATTTCCGTTGCCCCAGAGTAAGAGCAAACCTCCTCCTGCAGCCATCTTCCAACCAGAGCCCAGCCACATCTGGTGTCTCTGTCTCCCCGCTGTCTTCCAGCCTCTTTTCTCAGCCTGGGAGGCACCTCCCTACTGCTGTACACCATAGCTCACCCTCACCCCTGGGGGCACATTTTTCACACCCTCACACTGGGTCAGCTTGTGCCTGTCCCTCATTCTCCCTGCCCCCGAGTAGGCAAGGCTTTCTGGAACCCAGCCTGGGTCTTGCTGCCCTGTAAGCCTCCCCGCGCACTCTCAGGAAGGGCAGCTCTGGCCACAAGCCGAGCTGGATGGAGCAGGAGCAGGAACCGCACAGGCTTTGCCTTTGAGAAGTTGCCTTCTCCAGTCTCAGCTTCCGGGAGTCAGGAGAACAGCGGGCTGTGTGTGAGCTGGGTGCCTGGGCACGCACGGGAGCCCGACCACGAGCTGGCAGGCGGCCGGGTGCTCGTGGGAGCAGCCGCTCAAGCAGGGCCAATTAATGATTGGCTGTAAGAGGGGTGATGGTCTGGAGAGTGGGAAAGCCTCCTTCAGGCCTTGCCCGTGACCTTGGACCGGGCCTAGAACTTAAATGCTGAAGGGAACCCCTTAGAGAGGCAAAACAGCAGCCTTTGCAAAGCTCCACTCCCTCCAACACCATGCAGCAGCTCACATACCTCCAGGCCAGGGTGCTCAGTGCGCCCATGATGACCCCTCATCAGGCACGTTGAAGGTACCAGCTGCTCTGCTCCCTTTAGACGGCCAAGGCCCTCTAGGCCTCTTACTGCTGATGTGGTCTCCCCATGCTTGGCATTCTCCACCCCCTGGCCACCTGAGCCCGTCCCAGGACTGTTTTCATGAGGTGCCAGTGGGGCTGGTAGCTCAGGGCCCTCCTGACTTGTCTCTCCCATTGATTTAGAATGAATTCGGTGAGTGTGTCATAGGTGCAGCCCAGCTCTGCCCTGAGATGGGGAAAGGGACATAGGAGAGGCTTGCGAGTCAGGGTACTTATATATTTAGGGTGCAGCCTGGTAGAAATTTGGGGTCCTAACATGTCTGAGAATTGCTGATAGTCACTGTAATCAAGTCAGGATTTTCAGTGAAGCGGGGGCAGGGAAAGATATCCAGGTGGAAAGAGCAGCATGTGCCAAGGACCTGAGGCCAGGAAGCAGAGAGAGGTTTCCTGAAAGGGCAGGTGCTTTGTGAGGCAAGGTGGGGTGGGGGATGGGAGACTTAAGGCTGGAAAGGAGGAGGGAAAGGGCTCAGAGGGTCTAAATGGTTCTGAGCAAACAGTCTTCCCTCTGAGCATGCATGATCCCCCAGTCATGTCCCCAGCCCCTCATGAGCCCAGAGCCCCCAACCCACTAGCCTAGTGTGGACCATGGCTTGCACAGGCCCCCAGCTCCAGCCGTGCCAGGGCATGCAGGATCCTACCTGTCATGTGCTGGTCTCAGACATGACCAAGCATAAGGGCCACCCCTAATCTCAACTCACGTGAGCAGCCCAGGGCTGCGTCGCAGCTGTCATCCTGTTGGCTTTGTGGGTGAGCTGTGTGTGGAAACAGCGTCACTATAGCCCCAGGCCCACCGGTGAGCACAGCAGGGGAGGCAGCCAAGGCCTTTGGGGAGGTAGACGGATTTATCTTGGGCTTCTGAGAAGTGAGGGGGACTCAGGGGAGGAGGGTGGATCCTGGGCACATGCTTCTGCTGCGCTCCCTGGGCTTTGCAAGCAGGCCTCTGTAGAGCAAGGAGGATTGTCCTAGGAAGGACACTGGTTGCTCTGGCCTCCTGGTGGCCATGGGTCTCTGCTGTGGGCAGGGACAGCATTAAAGTCAGGTGTGCTTACACTGTAGCGTCAGACATCAGACGGAGAAGACTCCAAAGGGAGCGGAACATTTCTTTAACGGTCTTCGTTTTTGGCTTATAGAATGATGTTATTTTGAAATAGCAGCTGAATAAATGTCGCCCACATTTGCATCACCTGGTTATTCCCACTTTTCTTTATGTGACCGCTGGGAAGTCTCAGAAGACACCTATGGCTTGCTTGAGATTTCTGTTGGCTGGTATTGGTCTCAAAAGAGGTGGGAGTGACCTGGGTCACCTGTCTAGGGCAGAAGGGACATTTGAACCCAAGCTGATGGACTTTTCCCATAGTACTATGTGTTGTGGGCAGTCTGGAGGTAGAGGTCACCAACCAGTTGCTTCCTGGGACAGCACAGAGGAAGGAGACCACTGTCAGTCCCTGTGCTGGTTCAGCCTGCATGTACTGAGCACCTGCAGCATGCCATGCCAGGTTTATGCCAGGGCACAGAGTGACCAGGCAGGATGAGGCAGTGCTAGAGGGGCCCTGGCCCCAGGTGCAAGCATTGGGAATCACGGTCCCAGTCATCCCCAGTGTCATCACGGTCAACCAGGGCAGTAGACAAGATATTTCTGAGGCTAAGGATCCTGGTTGCCAGGACCTTAGGGGACAGGTGGGAGTTTGAAGGTCAGTCACTAAGCCCAGCACTGGCTCAGGGCATCATGGGACCCCAGGCTGCTGGTTGGGTTCCTTCCCCTTCTCAGAGGGCAGGTCACAGCTGGGAGGGCTGCTTTGATGGAACCTCTCTGTCAATGAACACAGCAGCCTTAAGCTGCTTGGTGCTGTGGCCCCCTGATCCTTCA